TAAGTAAGTTCCTAGTAAAACTGAATCTGAGCAGGCTTTAAAGCTGACCAGCTGCACTATACTTTTTATTTTAATTGAGTAAAACTGTTAAAGCAGAAATTTATATTTATATTTTTCATTAAAAAAAATGTGTTAAAAAACAGCAGGATTTTATTTTTCACTTTTATATTTCTATTTTCATTCAAACAGTGTGAAAAAGCAGGATTTTATATATATTTGTTTCATTCAAAAATTGTGTAAAAACAGTTAACTGCTGTGGTGGTATGTTTTAATAAGGTTACCAATAAGTAAAAGATATTTAATAGTTGTCTATTTTTTTCATTACTGTACCGAAAAAAAAACGAACCGTGACTTGTGTCCCGTTACAGCCCTAATTAAAATGTATGAACACTGTTAAGATATAAACATGTTTCTATATTTAGATTTATTTAGACACATTAACTCATCACATTACATCACATCACTTCACATTACCTACTAACACACTCTGCAGGCTGTTCCCATCACACCTCACGCTGTTCAGCTGCAGCTGACGTGTTAGTTTGTATTTGTTTTCATTTCACAGTCATTAAAATCTCGGACTGAGCTGGGATGAAACAAGCGGCTTTCTGCTTTCAGCCACTGAATCTCATGTTATCTGCACTCCATTGATGATGCCTTTCGGTGCTTGCCGTGAACACACCTCTCTCAGGCTGAACATACTCAGAGTTGATTGAACTAATGCCGATCAGCTGCTCTGGAACCTAAAGCTCAGAGTTTCTCAACTCAGGCTCAGTCAGCCTGGAGATTGGGATTAGGCTCACAGTTTGTGGAGCTTGCTTCCTGAAATAGGGCCCTAGTCTGTTGCTGACACTGCTCCTTCTTCTTCAGTGGTTATAAACACAGAGCAGGGGTTCATCCCAATACCGAAACTCTCATCCACGTTTCCCTCACTTGCGTCTCTTCCTCGCATCTTAGCTCCGCCCTCATGGGACACGGGGGAGAGATGAGAAGATGAGATGTGAGGCGAGAAGAAACGAGGAGACATATCTTTAGAGAAATGAGACATCCTTTCCTCTGAAGCATCACGTGAAGCAACATCTGTTTCTGATTACAGCTGTCAGGAGGCTTTATTAAAAGCTATAGAAAGTTTTAATGGAGTTTGTGTCTGCACACACATGATGTTATACACATATCAATCAGTCGATCAATTTTATTTATAAAGCCCAATATCACAAATCACAATTTGCCTCACAGGGCTTTACAGCATACAACATCCCTCTGTCCTTATGACCCTCACAGCTGATCAGGAAAAACTCCCCAAAAAACCCTTTAAC